CGGAATCCACGCACAGCTCACCCTCCGGCAGGTTTGCAGAGGCAGCTAATCACACAGGGGGAGAATGCCCATTTCTCTCCATGGAACAGCTGGTGGATTTGAACTAGGGGACTTTAGGACTGCAGTGCAGCTTTCTTACCACTACGGCTCCTTAACGACATGATAAAGGGAGTGAAAGCTCACCTCAGGATGAACAAATAACCAAAGAGGAAACTAGTGCTGAAACTGCAGGGAACGAGAACACACTGCCACACGTGCTCAATGTTTCGGCCACTCAAAGGACTCTTTCAATCGACAAGAAGTGAAGCAGACAATCTAAAGAAGAGGTCAAAGGCATGAACAAACTGTCCCCAAAGACGACGTCCCAATGGCTCATGGGCACACGCACAGCAGTTCTCCCGAGGCAAGTTCCTGGGGCGTCAGGGGCCAACAAATGCAGGCCCAGATCACAGTGGCGAGGCTTCCTGTGGTCTTTCGGCTACAGCCCTACAGCTGCCTGGGGGAACTGTCTGAATGTGCCTGGCCTATGGGACTGTCAGTTTTGGGGGTCCTGATTGTCTAGGGGAATCTGGGGGAGCAGATCCTTTGGACCTAGGGTCCTTGCACTGAGAACCTCCTTGACCCAGGAGACAGAGCTGCCACGCTGGAGACAGTAGAGTTTTCAGGTCCACAGAGCAAGCCAGCTGGGCATCTCTGGACAGGAGATGTTCTGGCAGACTCAGATGCCTCTGGGCCCAAGAGCTGTACACTAGACCAAACAGGGCAAAGGCCAGGTCTGAAAAGGGCCCAGTGCCAGAGGCCTGTCTGTGGGCACGACTGAGAAGTGGTAAGATAGATAGAACAACTGTATCCTGAGTTGTTCCAGGACTTCCAAGTGAATTCTGATCCTGAATTGTAACCTGTCCTTCCACAACAGGCCCCACAGTCATGGCTGTGGTCTGTGAGTTCTATGTGGTCATTACAAGAACTGAGCAGACCTGACAGGAGAAGGAGAGAGTGCTGTGGAATGGGTGGCTGTGTTGATCCTGGTAGAGGCTGGAGGGGAGACTAGTCAGTCCGACCTCACCATGCAGGGATCAGTGTGGACTGCTGGAAGGATGCTGACTTTCATCCCCTCCCCTGAAGTTAGCAGAGATCTCACACTACCACCATCACAGACTGTTAGGTGCTGCTGAGAACACTTCAACTCACAGCATGTCGTGCACAGCAGAGCACACATGGTCTGGTGCTGGGCTATCCTCAGTCCTTCTCCGCTTCAGGCACCATGCCAATTCATCTCACTGAGGGTCACACCAAAATCAACACTACACCAATGAAGTGAGAACACGACAGAGGACAGGGTCGGTATAGCTGACTCAGCAGCAACAACAACAATACTAAAAACTAAGACTAAAAGTGACCAAGTGTCGGAGATCACACAAACAATACCTCACGTGCTCCAGTGACTAGCAAACACGCACAGCCATAACCTCACTCCTGGCGTCTCCATCACGGCTGGAAAGACAGACAGACAGCCTACCCTTCGAAAACTCCACTTCCTGTACACTCCCAGCTAAAATCTGCACTTATTTAACCAAAAAAAACAAGCAACAATGTTGAGAGCACCAGCTGTAACAACTGAAAACAACCCCGATGCGCAAAAACAGCAGAAAGAACCAACTACGGCGCAAACCTCAGATTCCCGGAGAACAAATGAGACTGAACAGGGCCGCGTGACAGCATGAGTGCCTCTCACTAACATTATGAATGAAACGGTGGGAAAAGGAAATGCAAACTGTCGGACTCGACAGTGCAGTCAGTGACGCAATATGGCCCTGGTGGCCAGTGTCTTTGCAATGTCCAACAAATGAATGAGGAGGATTACAAAAACATGAAGTGCTTGTGGTCCACAAAAAACAGTGGACAGCTTGCTAATTACGTAAATAAGCAGCCCTGCGGGACAGTACCAGGCACAGTGTCTGGAACGCTCACAGAGACTGGTCACTTGTGTCATCTTGTTATGTACCATCGAGTCACTTGTGACTCACAGCAACCCTGTGTACAACAGCTCTGAACCCTGCTCTATCTTGAGGCAACCTCATTATCTCTGACACACCTCACCCCATTACCCCAGTCACTGGGTCAGTTCATCTCATCCAGGGTGTCACATGATCTCTCTCAGACACAGGGGCTAGCATGATCTGTGGACCCAAGATGACTGCTCAGAACCTCCCGATCCAGGAGACATCTCTGTAACACTGGGGATAGTGGGACATGGTGGCCGAGAAGCGACAGTCACACCAGCAGCAGCCCAAGAGACCACACGAGGCAGAGCTGTGAGGTCCCCAGCCCATGAGCAAAAAGCAGAGTGCCTCCATGCAGGAAGCCACCCGGTGTAGGGGTGCCTCCAGGAACACACCAGGGGAGCCAGCGCTGCCAATCCATGGACAGAGAGCGGCCTGTCTTCAGGCTGGGCCTTGCTGGTGCAGTGGGCTGTTTCCAGGCACTTGAGCAGGTGAGGTAAAAGAGCTTTCTAACACTTGCTGGGCCAGGCAGAAGTCAGTCTTAGGGCACAAGGGTCACTGGTCAAGGGTCAGAGCGCGCTGGGCCCACAGGTACCACTGAGAAGCGGCAGTCCTACCAAAGATTGGCATCTAGGGTCATTCCAGACTCCCATGGGAACCTGTCTCTTCCCTTCCTGGTCAACCTGATGAACCTCATCATCACAGGCAAGGCCATCAGTACAAACTGTGGAACTGAGCGGGGACCGGAGCGCCTGTCACCCGTCATAAGCAGAGCAGTTGGTGTGCCGGTGCTGCTGTCCGTGCAGTCAAGTGGAGGAGATCCACAGCGACCTTACGGACAATCTGCGCCCTGTCCTATCCTGCGCCATTCTCACCATCTGACACACTAGAGCCCACTGCTGCAGTCACTGTGTCAACCACCTGGTTGAGGGTCTTCTTTTCCACTTTCCCTCTATCTTCCCAAGCATGATGTTCTTCTCAAAGCAATAGCCTCTCCCAGCAACATGCCCAAACTATGTGGGAAGTGGTGAAGAGGTGGGGTGGGGCGTGCCTGACCACCTCTCACAGGAAGCAGCCTCCGATCCATCGCTGTGGCAATCCTCCCCTGATCCTCCCCTCTCGACTTTGAGGAGGTCAGACATTCTCCAGATTCCACTTACAGACAGACAAGATAATGCGAAAGCCATCAGCTGGGGCTGGTTAAGTCAAGACCATGGCCACCTTTGCAAACAGTCCCGGAAGCAGTTCTTGATCTGGGGAGTAGCTCTGTGGAGCAAGCTAAGTGGGTGGAAAAGTCACTCATGGTTTGTGCATTCTTCTGATGATGCACTTTGTAGTCACAGTCCAGTCTTACAAAGCGCACCAGTATTTCCCTACATCGCGTCAGGAGCACAAGTTCACGTTCTTGATTCATGTGCCTGTCTAGCTACACTGCTGTTGTTACTGCTGTTATGACCGAGTCAGAACTGACTCACAGCTGACCCTCCAGCAGTTTACACAGGAAGCAGTAAATGTCCACCCGCGTTTCTCTCATGGAGCAGCTGGTGGATTCGAACCACATGCCTTTGGTTTGGCTGCGACCAGATCTCTCTGTCTAGTCACACCATGAGCTGACACAGAGGAGGTAAGTTTTGGGGAAGGAAGAGTCCAAACGAAGTTACACATTCAACACATCTTTCTGAAAGGCGCTGACATCACTATGTGACCCGCCCGGCCCAGCACCTCCAGGCCACACTGTTGAGAAGCAGCTACAAACAAATCACTGGGCTACGGCCTTGCCCACCAAATGGGAGAGCATCTCTGCAGGAGGGGGCACAGCACAGGACGCACCTCGCCCTTCAAAAAGCCCACTTAGGATACATAACTGTTTCATACACACACCGCCACAGTCAGCTCCACTGACGGAAAAACAAACATCACCCAAAAACCCCCTTACCATACAGACTTGAAAGCCCACTAAAATTCCAGGAAAGCATAGCAATTGGGTCAGACCTTTTCACTTGTGTGAATGAAACCTGACATAAACCAACATGGTTGTCTGTAAGCTTCTAGTAAGAAACACTTCATTCTCTAATCCAGCAAAAAGGGAATATACAGCACTCAATCAAATCACTATTGCTAAAAAGGAAACCCAAAAAAAAAAAAAAAAGGAAACCCAAATGTTTCCCTTATCAATCTTTCAGGAGAATCAACTAAAGCCAAGAAATGCATCTGGGTAGTAATCACTCATTTGGTAACTCATCACTCTGAACAAACCAGGACCACATGCATCGATTCAGGTCCACCTGGAAATACTAAGAGGACACACACGCTGGATGACCAGGTGCACCCACACAGGACCCACACTGGAAGACCAGGTGCATCCAGACAGGACCCACTCTGGATGACCAGGTGCACCCAAACAGGCCACAGGCACCACCACCACCCATACATGGCCCACTGCCCTCTGCACCATTCACAAGACACTTGGCCAGTCTCACCACTTTGCCCCTCACCAACCATTAAACACTCATGCAACTCCTCAAAAGAAGGCTCAGAAATGCTTAAGAGTGACAACTCTGGCCTTGACCTTCAGCCTACGGTTCCAAAAGGCCCGTCTGCTGTCTTCCAGTCCCTGAAACAAATCTGAGCTGGACAACAGTGCTGTCAAAGGCATGCCAAAGAAAAGCTTCTCTTCTGGGAACTCAACCTACTCATTTTCAGGAGGAAATTGGAAGTCCAGGAGCTGGGACGCAGGGAAAAACACGTTTGGAAAGAAGCTAAGACACCTGACGGCTCCACACAGCCTGACTGCTCTGTGGCCTGAGAAGCCGCGGAGCACGTTCCCACAGGGACGTCTGGGAGTCCCTTCCAGTGCAGAGTGCCTCCAGAGAAGCTTCATCCCCAGAACCTTATCTCCACGTCCTTTAGAGGGACTGTTTCAGACAGGGCTGCACAAAACAATCGTGAGGGCGCTGACGTGCGTGAGTCAGGGGCCGCGGGCAGCACCCACCATACCTGCGGAAGTGCAGTGTTGAGCTGCCTCTGCAAGGAGTCTCGCTCGTGCCCCACCTCGTGGAGCTTGCCCTGGGTAAGGGCCAGCGTTTCCTGAGTTTCCCTCAATGTGTCCAGAAGACGGTCCCGTTCTTCCAGCATGGAGACCATCAACTGTTCAAAATGGGAGTCCGCATCCGACTGGGACGGGGAGCCAGACCCCTGGCTCCCGCTGCCTCCTGGGGGCCCTTCCGCCTCACTGATGGTTGGCATCACCTCGCACATCATCTGGAAATGAAGACACAGAATGGAGTCAGTGTGTGCAGAACACAAGATCCACAAGCCCACAACTTTTCAGGTGTCCGTGGCCTGGAGTCAACTCAGTGGCAACGGGTCGGATCGCGAATAAACAAGAGCCCTGGTGCACAGTGCACAGCCGCTTAAGTGTGGGGCCACTAACTGAAACGCTGGGGGTTCAAACCCACAAGCCATTCCTCGGGAGAAAGCTAGGGCCGCTTAAACTCCTGCAGATTTGTTACTGTTGGGGATTATCAAGTTAACTATGAGTCAGAGTCACCCGAGGAACAACAGGTCTGAATCCTGCCGTGTCCTGTGCCGTCCTCAACACACACGAGCCCATGCGTCACTGTGTCAATCCACCTCACTGAGGGCCTTTCTCTCTTTTACGGTCCTTCCACCTTCTGAAGGATGATGTCCCTCTCCAAGGAACATCCTCTCCTGACAACACGTCCAATCCTCGGCCCTGGAAACCTGGAGAGGTACTCCTGCCCTGTGCTAAAGGTTGCCAGGAGGACTGAGTCAAGAATGGAGAGACTGGTGTGGGGGAAGCAAGTATTTCAGGGTCAGCCTCTAACCCAGAGGTTGGAGGTTCAAGCTGTGGAAGCAAGGCCTGGTGAGCTGCTTTCATGATTCACAGCTGAGTACAGAACGCCTCTACACAGCAACACGCAGGGTCGCCAGGGGCCGAGAGTGACCGAAGGGCGACAGGGCTGTTTGCTCGTTTTAGTGAATAAACGACAAGATGACAACCTCACTCTGCTCAGCCTTGACTGCTTAGAAGCCAGCCGGGCAGGGACATGCATGCATGCAAAATCTAAGGTAGGAACCCCAGCTTTCCATCCACAGAACCCCAGTGAGAGCGCACAGGGCAGGGAGGACACCCCTTCTCTAAAGATAACCCCCCTGAACTTTGTTTGCTGAAAACAAGGGTGCTTCTGGAACCTGCTTTGTGTTTCCACTTTATTTTTTTTAATTTCCTGGTAAAGGGACCGAAAGGCAAAACATACACCACCCGATTTTTTCTTTTTTTTTTTTTTAAGGAAAAGCACGGAAGGGGCACAGAGTCATCAAGTGGGACACGTTCTAACTCCGCCAGGCATCTGGAGACGGCGCGGGGAGCCCGGAGGAGCCCGGAGGAGCGGGCCCGCGAAGGCTGGCCGGATCCCGGGGGGCGCCCGGGGGACCTGGCCTCGGTCAAGGGCCGCAGGGGTGTCCTTCCGTGGCTGCGATGGTTGGGCGGTCCACCTCACTTACGTAAGTTCGCAGCACACAGAGAAAATTCCACAATGGAAACCCAGCAGGTCGACGGGGCCCGCGCCAGGTGGGAAGGAAGGGAGAGGGACGAGCGCTCGCGGGAAGCGACCAAGTGTGAACAGGGCAGGGGCGCACGATCGGGGGGCTCGGGGGTGGACACGGGCAGGACGCGCGAGCCCAGCCGGCGCACCTGGCGGGGATCACGACCTGGACCCCCCCGGCCTCCCCGCTGCGCCCCTGGACCCCGGGCGCTGACAGCCA